CCAGAAAGAAAAGGACAAAAAAATACAAAACTATGAGTAAGATAACTAACATACAGACAGAAACAGTAATAAAAATTAGAGTGGAATTAAATGAAATTGAAAACAAAGACAATAGAAAAAATTAATGCAAAAAAAAAAAAAGCTGGTTCTTTGAAAAGGTAAATAAAGACATAATACTTATTGATATATATGTTCCAAATAAGGGAGCACCAAAATACATAAAGCAACTACTAACAGAACTAAGAGAAGAAACGGACAAAAACACAGTTAAAGTAGGGGACCTAAATACCCCACTGTCACCTATTAATAAACCATCCAAACAGGAAATCAATAAGGAAACATCAGCCTTAAATGATACATTAGACCAAATGGACATAATCAACATTTACAGGGCTTTCATCCCAAAACACCATATTATACATTCTTCTCTAGTACACATGGAACATTCTTAAGGATAGACCATATTTTGGGACACAAAACTAGCCTCAACAAATTTAAGAAGACTGAAATTATACCATGCATATTCTCTGACCACAATACTTTGAAACTGGAGATCTCCTACAAAAAGAAAGCAGGAAAAACCACAAATACATGGAGATTAAACAAGGTGCTACTAAAGGACGACTGGGTCATAGAAGAAATAAAAGAAGAGATCAAGAGATACATAGAAACAAATGAGAATGAGAAGACAACGTATCAAAACTTTTGGAATACATCAAAAGCAGTAATAAAAGTTCATATCATTACAGGCCTAGCACCAAAAACAAGAAAAATCCCAGACAACCTAACATTACACCTTAAAAAACTAGAAAAAGAAGAACAAATGAAGCTCAAAATCAGCAGAAGGAAATAATAAAAATTAGAGCAGAATTAAATGAAATTGAGAACAAAGACAATAGAAAAAATTAATGCAAAATAATAGCTGGTTCTTTGAAAAGATAAATAAAATTGACAAACTCCTGGCTAGACTCCCTAAGGAAAAAAAGAGAAAGGACACAAATAAAATCAGAAATGCAAGAGGAGAAGTTATGACAGATACCCCCTAAATACAAAGTGTCATACAAGAATACTATGAAAGATTATATGCCACCAAATTCAATAACCTGGAAGGAATGGACAAGTTCTTAGAAATATATAACCTTCCTAGACTGAATCACAAAGAAATGGAAACTCTAAATAGACTGATCAACAGTAAGGAAATTGAAACATCAAAAACCTTCCAAAACGTAAAAGCCCAGGACAAAATGGCTTCATTAGTGAATTCTATCGAATATCCAAAGATGACTTAATACTTATTCTTCTCAAACTTTTCCAAAAAAAAAAAAAAAAATGAAGAAAAGGCAATACTTTTTAACTCATTTTATGAGGTCACCCTGATACCAAAACCTGGTAAAGATGACACGAAAAAAAGAAAGCTACAGACCAATATCTCTGATGACTACAGATGCAAAAATCCTGAACAAAATACTAGCAAATCGAATACAACAATACATTAAAAAGATTATGTATCATGATCAAGTGAGCTTTATTCCAGGGGCACAAGTATGGTCTAACATATGCAAATCTATTAATGTGATACCCTACATAAACAAAATAAAGTATAAAAATCATATGATCATATCAATAGATGCAGAAAAAGCATTTGACAAGATACAGTATCCATTTATGATTAAAACAATAAAAAAGGTATAGAAGGAAAGTACCTCAATATAATAAAGGCTGTATACAACAAACCCTCGGCTAACGTCATATTCAGTGAAAACCTAAAAACCTTCCCTCTAAGATCAGGAACAAGACAAGGCTGTCCACTATCACAACTATTACTCAATATAGTGTTGGAAGCTCCGTAATCAGGCAAGAAAGAGAAATAACAGGCATCCAAATTGGGAATTAAAAAGCCAAGCTGTCACTCTTCACAGATGACATGATTCTCTACATAGAAAACCCTAAAGACACCACCAAAAAAACCTATTAGAAACAATAAATAAATACAGTAAAGTTGCAGGATACAAAATCAATGTTCAAAAATCCACAGTGTTCCTATACACTAACAATGAATTTTCGGAAAAAAATGAAAAAAAAATTCCTTTTGCAATTGCACTAAAAATAGTAAGATACTTAGGAATAAACCTAATGAAGTATGTGAAAGACCTATACACTGAAAACTATAAGACATTATTAAAAGAATCTGAAGAAGACACAAAGAAATGGAAAGATATTTATGTTCATGGATTGGAAGAATCGACGTAGTTAAAATGGCCATATTACCTAAAGCATTATACAGATTTAATGCAAACATCATCAAAATCCCAACTGCATTCTTTTAAAGAAATAGAACAAAAAATTAGGAGATTTGTATAGAAGCACAAAACACCCTGAAGAGCCAAAGCAACCCTGAGAAAAAAGAACAGAGGGAGAGGTATCACACTGCCTGACTTCAAATTATACCACAAAGCTGCAATAATCAAAACGGCATGGTATTGGCAGAAAAACAGATACACAGACCAATGGAATAGAACTGAAAATCCAGAAATAAACTCCCATATATATAAGCAAATAATTTTCAACAAAGGAGCCAGAAACATACAATGGAGAAAGGAAAGCCTCTTCAATAAATGGTGATAAGAAAATTGGAAAGCCACATGCAAAAGAATGAAATTAGACTATCACCACACACCAAAATTAACTCAAAATGGATCGAAGACCTAAAATATAAGGCCTAAAACAATAAACTGCATAGAAAAAAACATAGGTACTAAACTCATGGACCTTGGATTTAGAGAAGATTTTATGAATTTGACCTCAAAGGCAAGAGAAGTAAAAGCAAAAATAAATAGGACTAAATCAAACCAAAAGCTTCTGCACAGCAAAAGAAACCATCAACAAGGCAACTATTTGAATGGGAAAAGATATCTGCAAACACCACCTCCAATAAGGGCCTAATATCCAAAAAATAAAAAGAACTCATACAACTCGACAATAAAAAACAAACAATCCAATTAAAAAATGGGCAGAAGACTTGAACAGAGACTTCTCCCAAGAAGACATACAAATAGTCAACGGACATATGAAAAGATACTCAACTTTACTAGCTACAAGGGAAATGCAAATCAAAGCCCAGTGAGATACCACCTCACACCTATTAGAAGGGCTATCATCAACAAGACAAGTAATAACGAGTGTTGGAGAGGTTTTTGGGAAAAGGAACCCTTATACACTGCTGGTAGGAATGCAAATTGGCATACCTATTATGGAAAAGAGTAAGAATAGAGTTACCATATGACCCAGCAATCGTTCTTCTGGGTATCCGCCCCCCAAATTTTGAAAACATTTATTTGTAAAGATATATGCACCATAATGTTCACTGCAGCATTATTCACAGTGGCCGAGACATGAAAACAAATGAAGTGTCCTTCAACAGATGACTGGATAAAGATGATGTGATACATATATGCGGTGGAATATTACTCATCCATAAGATGAAATACTGCCATTTGTGAAAACATAGATAGACCTTGAGATAACCATGCTAAGTGAAATAAGTCAGAAAAAATTGAGAACCAAATGATTTTACTCATATGCAGGATATAAAAGTGAAAGCAACAAATGAACAAGATAAACAAAAAAACCCTCACAGACACAGACAACAATTTAGTGGTTATCAGAAAAAAAGGGAGGAGGTGGGAGGTAGGTAAGGGTAAAGAGGGTCAAATATATGGTGACAGAAGGTGATTTAACTTTGGGTGGTGAACACACAATGCAATATACATATGACATTACTGAACTGTACAGTTGAAACCTGTATGATTTTACTAACCAATGTCACTCTAACAAATGATTAACAACAAAAAAAAAAGAACAAGGGACTAAGGAACTAAAAAATGAAACAAGTAGAAAGTTAACTACAATAAAAATAGAAGCAAATATTTCTAAATAATAATAGATATTTATATACAACTAAGCAACTTTTTAAACTAGCAATGTAACAGTTAATGATGTAAGACAGCAGTTCTCAAAGTGTGCCTGGAGGACCTAAGACACTTTCAAGAAGTCCGCAGGGTCAAACTATTTTAATATGAGTAGCAAGATGTTCTTTGCCTTTTTAATTCAAATTCTGTTGTGAGTGTACAATGGAGTTTTCCTGAGGATACCTGATATATATATCACAGATTAAATGTATATACAGATAAAAGAATCCAGCTGGAATCCAACTGGTTCCACCTGAATTCTCATATCTGTTGCTTCATATTAAAATAATTCAAACATTTAAAAGATTAACAAAACTATTCTAAAAATACCACTCTTCACTATTTTTTGTTTGGAAATATTTTTCATTAAAAATAGTATATGATTATATACAATCGGTCTATTATTTTTAAAGGAATAAATGAACACAGTATGTTAAAAATTTAATTTCTGATAGGGCATATATTGATAGATAAAACCCACATAAACATGAACTCTTTGGGGTCCTCAGTATTGGAGGAGCACTGTTGTCAATCTATCATCACTGCTCTCCAGAGAGCTCCCTCAGGCACAGGCAGCTGCCTTTTCAAAGGGCTGGCTGCTCACTCTATGAGAGGAATCCTGCCATCTACATTGGTGCCCTCAACAACATTTACAGCAATTTTACGTTGCTACTCAACTAAGCACATGATCAATGGGCTTATAATTTGTCCTTGGCTTTTTTTTTATTTCACTTTTCTAGTTGTTCATTTTTATTGTATTTTACAAAAATGTCAGTCTGCAACAGTTTGAAAATGTTTTAAAGTGGTCTTTCACCATAGATATGTTGAAAAACACTGATTTAGATATCTTATAATTAAATATAATTAAACAGACATTGGGGTAATCCTTAAAGCAATATACTATCAATAGATATCATTTCTCATGATTAATGACACTCAAGAGAACTTTCCCTATGTATACTGCTTCTAATATAAACATCAAAGCATCACCCTTAAAATGGACATGGTAATGATAAAGAAAATCACACGTACCCTCTTCAGTGAAGAATTTTTCTATGGGTCGCACAAACTGGTTGATTTCATTAAGTTCGTCTTGGCTAACTTCTGGGAATGGGAAAACTTCTTTCTAAAAATGATAAACACTTAGTAAAAATTAATTTTTAGCAACTTTTCATAGTGGTGATACCAGTCAAAAAGGAAGGAAACAGATTTGCTAGATTCTGTATCTGGTAGGCAGGACATAACTCATTGAAGGAATTAGAAAGCAAACCCCAGAAGGTGCTTAAGAGGCAGGAATTGTACGTTAGACTCCACCACCTAGATACATACTCCTCTTCTACTCAAGCAGGTTTATTTCTGATTTTGATCAGCTTTCCTTATCAATAACAAGTTATGATTTTCCCACAAAACAAAGAGCTCTGGACTAACAGTTCAAAGCCCTGGGTTCTGTTCCTTGATTTGTAGCTTATTGTGTAGACTTCACCAAATTTCTTTCCCTCTCCACATTTCCATTTTCTCAGCCATAATATGCTGGTAATATTTACTCAAGGTCATGAGAACCATGAGAATCATGGAAGATAACAGGTGTTAAAGCTCTTTACTAAAATGTAAAATTTCGCATTATTTTGTGAGTTCAAAGATGCTGCAGCTGACAGGAGCATACTGTGGTTACAAAGTCTGACATCTTGCCAGGTTCCTATCCAGCTGCATACTCCAATCTCCATCCCTCTTGATTAATGACATCTGTTACTTGCACTGAGCGTGTGAGGTAATGGAGTCACTGGAGGAAGTTCAGCTGTTGAGCTAGATCAACCTTAATTCAGCCCTGGCTCTGCCACTTCTTAGATGTGTGACTTGGGTAAGCCACATAGCCTTTCTCAGTATCAGTTTTTCTGTTACAGATACCTCAGAGGGTAGCTGTGAGGCTCAAAAGAGATATTTCCTAGAATGTAAAGTAACTGTAATTATTTGTATCAGATACTGGCTCTTGCCTCCACCTCATACCATGGAAAACAAATTAGCTTCCAATCTGTCTCAAACCAATGAGTGGCCAATATTTCTGATTGGCCAAGGATTCCCCACTGGGCTATCACTATTATATTGCCTAAAAATATCCTGTTGTGTTCTTAGCCCCTCTGGCTTTGGGGGTTCCAGATAGCCCTGCCATCGTAAAATGAGTATTTGGACTTGGACCCACAGCTGCTGAGAAATGATGTCCCAGATCACAAGCTGCCAGCCCCTAGAAGCCCTGCCTCTCTTCATGGCACCTCTCACCATGTGTCTCAGGATAAGGTGTTCAAAGCAGGAGTCCTCAATCTTCCACCAGAGACTGTCCACTCTAGTAATATGCTCCCAAATCTGTTTTCTCCTCTCAAGACTCATGACTATAAGCTTACAGGTTGGTCACTATACAAAAGTGACAGCTGACTTAAAGAAATTCCTGCCTCCAGGCTATTCCTGGTCCTGCTTTCAAGACTGTCTAGAAGGAAAATATGCTGAGACTCTAATCATTCTCCAGCCTCTCAGAACAAAGCCAGCTCCTTAGCTGAATATATAGAGGCTCAATCCATTGTACTAGCCTTCACAGCCTCATGGATTCACCTGGGCCTTGTGCAATGAGCTGTGTTAGAGTAAGATTAGATTATTCTGGTACTGAAGAGGAAATTTGGGCAACTTCATTAAAAACTAATTAGCTTTCTGCTTCTGTAAATATGCTTGCTTTCTGCAGATGTTTGCTGCATGCAAGGGCTCATGCAAAAGCTCCCTTGAGGTTTGCTCAACTTGCAGATGTAACTGTTTGTGCCTTTGTTCCACCAATGCAACTGTTTGTACCTTAGCAGCTCCCGCCTCATGTAGCACTTTGTACCCCAATAACTCCTGCTCCCTGTAACAATTTGTTTACTGGTTCCATAGCAATCCCTGCCCTTCTCTATGTTACTGCTTGGAATTTGCATAGCAACTCCTGCTGTATGTAATGGTTTATGTTCAAACTGACCAATCAGATTATGTAAAATGTTTCAACTGAGCCCACTGCCCAGATCTTCAGAGCACTAGCTCATCTGGGACTGCCATAATAAATTCTCAATTCTCCTCTCTGAGTGAACTGCTTAGTTTTTCGTTGGACTGGGTTTTGGAGCTTTTGGGATTTTTCCACAACAGTGCCAGTGAGCACTCCAGATGAGAAAAGAGAACAGCCTGGGAACTAGTTGGCCCTCAAGTACAAGCAAAGGATAACTGCTACAGGGACAGAGATCTCAGGTGCACATAAGAACAAATCTCTGACATCAATGTTCAAAACCTGAATGGGGGGCCTCATGGGTGCTGGGCTGAATTTCCATCAGCAGCTTTCAAATTTTTTAAAGCAGTGAAACATCTCTTTTAGTTAAATCTAGTGCAGACACCAAATGCATAAAACAGATAAAGCTGCCCTGGTTGAGACTACAGATGGGGAGAAAGGTCACACAAATATCTCCCACTGGACTTCCCAATGGTCCCAGCAGCAGCCTCAGGGGCACTTCCTTGAATAGCAAGGGTCCAACTGAGGGCAATGTGATAACTACAGGTCTAGATGATCTTGAAGGTCTCTTTCTATTCTAAGAGCCTAAGTATCTCTGATGTCACATTCCTGCTCAAACCCCAATTATGCTGTGAGAGTTGATGTTGACCTGAACCAATCATGGTGGAGGTGCTTAAAAGTGTTCAGATTCTAAATATAAACTAGAGAAAACAGGATTTGCTGTCAGAGTAGTTGTGGAGGATTAGAAGAGACATCAAAAGTGACTCCAGGTATTTGGCCTGAACAAGGTGAACAATAGAGTCAGGGAAATCTATGATAAAGACTGGTGGGAGAAACAGGGTTGGGTGGGGAAACCAGGAACTCAGTTTTGGATATGTTAAATTTGAGTGAAGCTTTTGGTAGAAAGGTAGACATAAAAGGAGTCAAGTTCAGGGGAGAAATCGGAGCTGGAGAAATATATGAGACATCAGGATGTTAATGGTATTTAAAGCCATAATACTGAATTAAATCATCCAAAGTGGGGTTACAGAAGTCTACAGACTGAACCTCAGTCTGTTTGAAAATGCTGGCCAATGTTTAGAGGTCAAGGAGCTAAGAAGGAACAAGCAAAGGAGGCTGAAAAAGATCTACTAGTGAAGTAGATAGAAAAACTAGGAGAGAATGGTTTTTTCGAAGCCAGGAGACTGTCAGATGCCAGTGATGAGTCAAGTAAAATGAGGACTAAGGACAGACCTCTAGATTTGACAACGCAAAACAAAGGTCATTACTACTTTCATAAGAGCAGTATAGTAGATTGTAAAGTACGAAAACCTGAAAGGTATGAGTTCAAGATGCAGGAGAGAAGGAACAATTGATGATGTAGATGAAAAGGTGAGAATTACTCGATCAATGTCCTTGAGCAGGTAAGACATGAAGTCTAGTAACGCAGTTGGCCTTTGCTATAAGACAGTTCATCTAGTAAGAGAATGCAGACCATATGGGCACTGTTACAGGAAGGAGAGTAAATGTGGTTGAATGCTTAATATTACTGTTGGGTAAGAGCTGGGTTACTACTAGGTAGTGTGACCAGTGGAGGGGATAAGGTGGGAAAAGCACCTTGGAGCCAGACTGCAAGAGAACCTAAATGGCAGGTTTGTTAGGTCTAGGAAGGCCCTATCCCCCCCCATCCCTGTAGTGTGGGAACCTGACTTCTCCCTTATTTTTGTGTGGAAACCGGACCTTGCATCAGGTTTGGCAACGCTACATTCTCTCCTCCCGTTTCACTGGGCTCTGCTCCCTTCCCCGCCAATATACACGCCCAAAATATTCCGGCCAAAAGGCCCGCCTCAAGCCCCATATAAGTTTTAGGTCCCAGCGCATTCGGGGCTGATGCCATCTTCGGCTCAGTCTGTCACTCTGCTACAATAACCCCTTGCTTAAACCCTTGGGCCTTGTGCGTTCCTCCCCTGGCGGAACAAAGGTGAGGCGCTGGGACTCAGCTGTGGATGCTTAGGGGCCCCTGGAAGCTGACAGAGGAGCGGCATGGTCCGAGTTTTGTTTAGGATTCAGAGAGGAAGCCCTACACATTTGGGGGCCAGACGCCGAGTGGTGGGTTGAATCGCCTCGCCTAGTATTTCCCAAATGACCTGAGAAGAATTAACTGGAACACTTGTCAAAACCATAGATTCTCAGGGCCCCCTACCCTGGAAAGACAATTCTCGTTCCCTGGAAAAAATTACATGATCCAGTGGAACTCAGAAATTTGGAGTTTTAGCACGCCCCGCCCCTCAAGTGTATCTGTCAAGCGGGTATGCGGACACGGACAAAGCTCGATCCCAGTCTTTCCTAATAAGGGCAAAAATCAGGAAGCAGATCCAGACACTGCGTTACCTTCTCGATTCTGCCCAGGAAGAGCTCCTTGACGAAAGCTCGGCTCGGCGGACAGGTGCGCAGCGGGCGCCGACTCTCAGTGAAGCCCACTAGAGCCCGGTAAGAACGCGCCGCCGCTGTCGTGCGCAAGAATAACCCGCAGCAGCCCATACTGCCCCAAATCCTTCACGCTCTCACCACAACCACCACCTTCTCCGTGCCTCAGTGATATGCACCTGGCTCTCGCCAGACAACGCCACTAGCTTACACCGCCCCGCCAGATGACGCCACTAGCCTGCGCCGCCCTGCCGGCCGCCATTGCGCCTGCGCGGCCTCGCGCGGGAGGATACCAGAGGAGCGGGGCGGTCACCGGCTGGATGGTCTCACCGTCAGGCTTGCGGAGTGGGGCGGAGGGAGGGTTTTGTTTTCAAATACCAGCGGTTGTTTGCATAAATGCCAGTTTGGGGAGGTTCTTTGGAGGACCGGGACCTAAGTGGCGACCTAGCTGCCTCCTCTCGCTAGTTAGGGCGACGAATACGTGGTAAAACTGAAGAAAAGCAAGAGAATGGGAAAATATCATGTTATTACCTCAGGAGGGGCACCCACAGTATGAGTACTGTTACATTTCATAGGTGGATGTGGATTCGTGAGCTTCATTTTGTTTTGATTCATGTTATGTAGTTTATTTGTTTCTTTGTTTTTGGAAGAGGAAAAGGGGTGCTCCACCGGAGAGAGGTCTGGATAAAGCCCTGAGTTACAACTATCCCTAGGAAACACCAACTTAAATGGGCATGCAAAGGAAGAGGAGCTACAGAGGGAACCGGGAAGGACTTGTTATGGCGCGAACGATTCTGAGACCCACGGAGACAATTGAGATTAATTATGAGCCTTTATTAGCCGGCCGGCGACTGACTCTCTACCACGCAGGGCTAGAGGAGATCAGCCCCGAGCTTTCAGAGCAGGCAGATAAAGCTCAAGACCATATCCTGGTGGTCTCCTGAACAAGCCAGCAGATTACAGAAGTGGAAGTTGGCTTTTAGCATATCTTTGCCCGGAACAACACCCTTAATTAACAAGTAAATGGATTACAGAAGCAGACATTGGCCATCTACATATTTTATACAATTCACTTCCTAAACCACACACAAGCAAGTAGGACAACTTCTGATATCTAAAGATATTTCTTCCCCGTAGCTGACTTAGCTAGTTTGCTCACTTGAAAATTTTCCACCCTTAACAGACTGAGAACAATAATTAGTGGGACAGGTCGGGAAAGGCCATAGGGCCTAGGGAGGAGAGCCCGCGTCGCGGAGACACTGCACAGTCCAGCGTTGCCTCGTTCCGGGCCAACTGGGCACTTCCTAGTGGTCTTTAAGTCAGCTTCCTCCACGAAGATTTTCTCTCTTCTTACCTCCCATTGGACTTGTACTCTGGCTATAGCATTTTCCACAGTATTGAGAAATGCTTTTTGCCTCCGTTATGGGAACTCCTAGAGAATGGTAGGAAATTTCATTCATCTCAACGGTGTTATGGCTGACCCAGTAAAGTTTACTTGTTTGGGTAAAAACTTGACACAGCATCAGGGGAGGAGAGCTCAAAAACTTTTTTGGCTGCAATTTATTTGCAAGCATCTTCTGCAATCTATTTTCTATTTTGTCTTTGAGTTGTAAAGATTTGTCACCTGGTTTCTTTATCAGTAGTCATATATGCCTGTTTGAGCATTCAGCTTCTCATTGGAAACAGCTGCCTTTGTGACATTGCAAAACCTGTGTTTTGAGTTTGAGCTCAAAACAAACGTGAGATCGATCAAGTAATCTGCTAATGCGTTGGTTCCTGTTTAGTATGCATTTAAGCACGTGAGAAATTCAGTGGCAGTTTCCAAAGCAAAAATTAGAAAAAATGTATGGCATAATTTTTAAGTACTCAGTAGAGTGTATAGTGGAAAAAGTTTTCTACTAAGCCAGTTTCAAGGTTTAGTTTCCTCATCGGTAAAAATGAGTGTAATACCACTAATCTCACAGGACTTTTATGAGGAGTAAGTAAAATAATCCATATGAAAGCCTCTAGAACACTAAATGAAGTTTTTTCTTTAATAATATAAAAATGAAAAATAGCTACAGGTTTCCATCTTCTACGTATTAGCCTATGAAAAATAGAATGTCATTTTTAAACCTTGCTGTAGACATAAAATTTCCTATATTCAGTGTTTAGAACACCCTCACTGAGTACAGGCATACCCTGTTTTATTGTGCTTTGCTTTATTGCGCTTTGCCAATAACTTACAAATTAAAGGTTTGTGGCAACCATGCACCAAACAAATCTAATTGGTGTCATTTTTCCAATGGCATTTGCTCACTTCACATCTCTGTGTCACATTTGGTAATTGTTGCAATATTTCAAACTTTATTGTGATTATATTTGTTATGGTCTTATTATTTAAGAAATGCAATTTATAAGGCTATACCTGCCATGGATAGTGATTCCTCTGATGGATCTGGGCAAAGTAAATTGAAAATCTTCTGGAAAGGATTCACCATGCTAGATGCCATTGAAAACACTTGTGATTCATGGGAAGAGGTCACAGTATCAACATAAACAGGAGTTTGGAAGAAGTTGATTCCAACCATCATAGATGACTTTGAAGGCTCAAGACTACAGTGCAGGAAGTAACTACAGATGTGGTAGAAAGAGCACCACCATTGTTGTCTTATTTTAAGAAATTGCCATAGCCACCCCATCCTTCAGCAACCACCACCCTTATCCGTCAGCAACCATCAACATTGAGGCAAGACCCAGCAAAATGATTACAACCTACCAAAGGCTCAGATGATGATTAGCATCTTTAGCAATAAAGTGTTTTTTAATTAAGGTATGTGCATTGTTTTCTTAGGTGTAATGCTATGTACACTTAATAGACTACAGTTTAAACATAATTTTTATACGCACAGGGATACCAAAACATTTGTGTGATTTGCTTTATTGCAATATTCGCTTTATTGCAGTGGTCTGGAACCAAACTTACAATATCTCCGAGGTATGCCTGTGTCTCTGTGTCTTCTTCCTGTATGAGTCACATCAATACAACTGATTCCCATGTATAAATTACCACCAAATAAGCTGATACTCTTACTTGGCCATAATGTTAGTATACCAGGATGTTTGGTTTGGGTCTCAAGGATTGTCTCAGTAGAAAACTACTAGATACTCCAGAGATAAAGCTGCAAAATCGGAAGCCAATAGAGAAATTTACTTATAGAATTAGAGAAAAGAAAGGAGAGTTTGCCGCGGTCCAGCCACGACAGGATCCAGGGGGCCCCGAAGGTGGGCAAGGCGTCGGCGCGGGAGACAGTCGACTACACAGCTCAGAGGCGGTGTGACACTGTTCCGTTTTATTGTGATTTGAGTACAACTTTTATACTTTTTATTTGGCATTTGATTATACTTTGTTGTTAAGGTAGCAGGGAGTTAAATTTCTGTGGTTAGGCGGAGCAGAAAATCTTATAGAGTATATTATTATTAATGTTCATGATTAACTAGTACATTTTTCTCTCAATCATTAGAACAGAACTACCTGATGGAACAATCTAAACTTTAATTATTATATCTATTACGTAAAATACAGTTTGATTTAAGTAAAGGTGATAGATAGATGTATTCATAACAGCAAGCATTGGCTTGTGGACAGACATTGTTCTTCTTTCTGCCTGAAGAAATCTTTTAAATGCTATTTGATTTATGCTATATCTAAAGTTCAAGCTGAACCTTTCTCATAGCTGTTCAAAAGTTTCCTTGGTGCAGTAATGAGGAAAATATTTATAAAAATCAGTTTTACAAAGCTGCTTTCATAAGCTAAGTTTCTGTTCCTTTGTTTTTAAGCACCAAGGAGATCCTGACCTAGCCAGCCTTTCTATGAAACTTACACTACTATCAGGCACATGAATT